ACACACATTTACTACCATAATTAGTCTTATTCTGCACCTTTACTTCATTCTTTTGTTTTATTACAGAATTAGTTCACACAGAGATGAAAACTGTCATTATTTATTTCTGCCATATTTACATTTACTGACATAGTCACCACTGATAAGCTACTATTAAATATATTATAGAAACATATTGTACAGCTGCTTTGTCGCTATGGGGAAACCTAGAGGACGCAGTGTCTCGTTCCCTACTCAGGGAACCATGGTTACATAAGTAACCTGAGACGTTCCCTTTCATGGGAACTTCGAACTGTGTCCTCTAGGTTTCCCCATAGCGACCCCTAGAGGATGCAGTGTCTCGTTCCCTACTCAGGGAACCATGGTTACACAAGTAACCTGAGACGTTTTCTAATGTTCCAGTTACAGCCAAAAAGGGTTTTATAGATCATGTTTTACAGATCTTCAGAAACCCTCGCTCACCAGTCTGAGGTCGCTGTTTCCCAGTATTAAGCTGAAGTTGTTGAGATCCTTCATCAGAGTGTTTAACACCTCAGTGATGCACTTCCTCTGCTTGCTGCTCACTTCCTGTAGCCGGGAAAACTCCGCCTCCAAACACATCAGATCCGACTGAGAGAATTACAGCCCAAATGAGCAGTGTGATTAAACATTACTCACTTCAATTAATGCATCACTGATGATTCAATTAGCAGCTCAAGGAAGGCAGTTCCCGCTAACATTACTGCTAGAGTTTATATCACTATAGATCTTACTTTTACTGCTCGTGCTTGCAAAACATTAATAGCAACAAGGCAGCAATAACAAAACTCGTGTGAACTGAGCTCGAGTCGATACATTTTGCAATATGTATGATAGATCTGGAGAAACATGATTTTATACCCCTTCTGCTCACCAAGGCTGCATTTATTTGATAAAAAATACAGTAAAAATAGTGAAATATTATTATAATTTCAAACAGCTGTTTTCTATGTGAATATATGTTAAACTGTATTTTATTTCTGTGATGCGCAGCTGTATTTTCAGCATCATTACTCCAGTCTTCAGTGTCACATGATCTTCAGAAATCATTCTAATATGCTGATTTACTGCTCAAGAAACATTTCTGATTATTATCAATGCTGAAAACATTAATATCTGTGTGGAAACTGATACATATTATTTTTCAGGATTCACAGATGAATAGAAATTTCAAAAGAACAGCATTTATTTGAAATAGAAATCTTCTGTAACATTATAGCTGTCTTTACTGGCACTTTTGATCAATTTAATGCATCCTTGTTGCATTAATTTTATTTAAAAATATATAGACTTTTGAACGGTTGTATAAATTTGAGAAACGGTCAGGAATGAATAAAAGACAAGAATATTCAGCTATCTGTGTAATATGCATGAAAGCTCATGAGATCAAAGCAAAGCATGTGGCTCCTCAATCCAAACAACATGTGCTGTATTAAGATACTTTTGCTAATGAAGGGATAGTTTGCGTACAGTTTTGTGCGACAGCTTCTCGATGAGGCGTCTGTTATGGATTCTCATGTCTTCGGCCTCCTGACTCTTCTGGTCGTAGTTCAGAGCAAGTTCCTCCAGCGCCTGCAGAACCTCCTTCACCTCGGCCTTCGCGCTGTCACTGTCCGCTTGAAGACGACTCAAATCGCACTGCACGCGCTCACTGTCTCCAAGCGACGATGCTAGCAGCTAAACACACACATACACACACACACACTGAGTATGCAGTTTCCCTGTCCTAGTTTACACAACAAGACTCAAATCATCCATTATGCTGTTTTATCTTCATGTAGTGGGCGTTTTGGGAATATTACACTAGCATACTACTCATACTATTTTTGCAGTATGCATACTGCGCACAATATGTGAATTTTCCATATACATGGACTGCTAAAAAAGTATGCAGTGCAGTATGCAATGTGCAGTATGCTAGTATTCCACTGTATACAGTGGCTGAATCTGGAATATTATACTAACATACTACTTGTACTATTTTTGCAGTATGCATACTGGGCACAATATGTGAATTTTCTGCATGCATGGCATCGTAAAAAAGTGTAAAGTACATTCTCAAAGTATGCAGTATGCTAGTATTCCAGGTTATACAGTGGCTGAATCCGGAATATTATACTACCATACTACTCGTACTGTTTTTGCTGTATGCATACAATACACTATATGTAAATTTTCTTTATACACGGAATACTAAAAAAAAGTATGCAGTACATTCTGCACAGTATGCAATATGTAGTATGCTATTGTCGATTTGTATAATTTGCAGTATACATACTGTACACAATATATGAATTTTCCATATGCATGGAATAAAGTATGCATTACATTTCGCGAAGTATGCAGTATGCTAGTATTCCAGTATATACAGTGGCTGAATCTGGAACATTACACTAGCATGCTACTTATTTTATAACAATTTTTGCAGTATGCATACTGGACACGACATTCTCAAAGTATACATTATGCTAGTATTCCAGGGTGTACAGTGGCTGAATCCGGAATATTATGCTACCATACTACTCGTACTGTTTTTGCTGTATGCATACCATACACTATATGTAAATTATCTTTATACACGGAATGCTGAAAAAAAGTATGCAGTACATTCTGCTCAGTATGCAATATGTAGTATGCTATTATTCCAGTAGCTGAATCTGAAATATTACACTAGCATTCGACTCATACTAATTTGCAGTATACATACTGTGCACAATATATGATTTTTCCATATGCATGGTATATTTAAAATATGCATTACATTCCACGCAGTATGCTAGTATTCCAGTATATACAGTGGCTGAATCCGGAACAATTCACTAGCATACTACTCATACTATTTTTGCTATGCATGGAATCCTAAACAAATTTATGCAGTACATTCTATGTACATTCTCAAAGTATGCAGTATACAATATGCAGTATGCAATGTGCTAGTATTCCAGTGTATACAGTGGCTGAATCTGGAATATTGTACTACCTTACTACTCATACTATCTTTGCAGTATTCATACCATACAATTTTCTGTATACATACTAAAAAAAGTAAGCAGTACATTATGAGCAGTTTGAAATATTGTAATATTCCAGTGTAAACAATATACTACCATACTACTCATACTATTCTTGCCATATAAAGTTAGTATGCTAATATGATTTCAGCAAGTGTTTTACCTCTTCTTGATCCAGCATTTGCTCCTTCAGTTTTTCCACCAGCTGACACTGTAAATTAATCTCATCGTCCTGTCAGAAAGAAAAGAATCAATCAGAAAGTCAATTTTTCCATCACAGGCTGTGTTTACTCCCATCATTCTAAATTAATCTCATCGTCCTGTCAGAAAGAAAAGAATCAATCAGAAAGTAAATTTTTCCATCACAGGCTGTGTTTACTCCCATCATTCTGCGTGTGTGTGTGTGTGTGTCTGTGTCTGTGTGTGTGTGTGTGTGTGTGTGTGTCTGTGTGTGTGTGTGTGTGTGTGTGTGTGTGTATGTGTGTGTGTGTGTGTGTGTCTGTCTGTGTCTGTATCTGTGTGTGTGTGCGCGCGCGCACTCGTACCTTGTCGTCGAGCTGTTTGTAGAGTTTGCGTATATCTTCCTCATATTTGAGCTTGTGTTCTTCTGGGATTCGCTCACACACGCCGAGGCTCAGATTGTCTAAAGCTGCATCTTCACTGACATCAGATTCGACAGGAATCACAGCCATGAGATCCAGCGGCGTGACAGATTCACCTGCAGCACAATCACACACTCATTTACCACATTTACTGTTACTATAGTAAAATCAGAAGACATTAAAACTTTCAGAATCTTTCTCATCTTGTTAAATACCTTGGTTTTACTACAGTTTTTCTTTAGCTATCCTTACACTAATTACTTATAATATGGTAGTACCATGGTACTTCCATACTTATTTTGTAAGTTGTCTAAAAACGTGGTATTTTCATGGTAGATGCCCTTACAAAACACTACTGTGGTGGTACCATGGTACATATACAATACTTTGAAATATTTAGCAAGTGCTTTTATCCCAAACAAATGTACTATGGTATTTACATGGTGCTCCAAGGTAAGTCCATGAGGACCATGGTATTAACATGGTAAATGTCTGAAAAACTTCTTTAAAATCATAAAAATTAAGCATACAATGCTTTTGCAATACTATACTCCAAAACACTGAAAAATTGGTGTAGGATTTAATTTAATAAATTTCATAAATAATTACAAAGAAATGGCAAGTAACACATTGAATTAAACATTAAATTTTGGAGTAGAAAGACTGAAATAGTATTTTCCTGTAAAATGTACTTCAATAATCATTTTTACAGTGTTACATATTCAGTCATGCCAATATTTATATGCCAATATCATCTCTATTATCAAATAAATAATTAAATTATTATTATTTTAATTTATTTAAAACTATGATTTTATCATGTTGCATGTCTGAAACACCATGGTATTACCAAAGTAAATGTTTGATAAATCATAGTATTACCATGGTACATGTCCAAAGCAATCATGGTACTTTTTTCAGTAGCTGTAGTGACTGAAATTTTGGAAATAACTTGAAATAACTTGTGTTTTTGTGTCAGAAAGAGAGAAATGAGACGTATGTCCTCACCGTTACGCCAGCGGTTAAGCTCTGCCTCCAGTCTCTGGATGTTCTCTTTCAGGTTCTTGTTCTTCTCTTTCGCTTTCTCATATTTCCTCTTCCACTGCTCTGCTGTCAGCTCCAGGTTCACAGACGCCGTGTTCTTGATGGTCTTTGCTCTGAGAGACACAGAGTGTGAGTGTGTGTGTGTGTGTGTGTGTGTGTGTCTGTGTGTGTGTGTGTGTGTGTGTGTGTGTGGTTCAGTGTGTGTTCACTGTGTTACCGTTGTCCGAACATCAGGGTGGATTTGGTCTCGGCATCGTTGAAGGCTGAAGGTGAGCAGCAGATGAACATGGTGGTTCTGCAGTTTCCTCCCAGAGAGTCCTGCAGGATCCGCGTCATCTTACTGTCTCGGTATGGCACATGAGTCTTCTGCTCACACACAGCGACTTATTAAATGTGTGCTACTCTGAACTGCAATAATTTCATGCATCTCTACTGTATATTAGTCATATGCAGCTATAACTCACGGTTCCTTCAGCCAGAGCTGATATGACGTTCCCCAGCGCAGACAGAGACTTGTTGATGTTCTTGGCTTCATCCAGGACGGCTCCCTCCGCACCTGTCTTACTCACCTGAATGACAGACAGACGGATTCATGGCTATGCGGCTGTTCACATACACTGTGTAATTTCCAGTATAAAATATAGTAGCTAATTTCTGAATATTGCACTAGCATACTACCTGTACTATTTTTTGCAGTATGCATGCTGTGCACAACATGTGGATTGTCTGTATGCATGGAATACTAAAAAGTATGCAGTATGCAGTACATTCTGTGCAATATGCTAGTATTACAGTGTAAACAGTAGCTAATTCCGGAATATTGCACTAGCTTACTACTCATTCTATTTTGCAGTATGCATACTGTGCACAACGTGAATTTTCTGTATGCATGAAATACTAAAAAAGTATGCAGTATACATTGCATTCTGCACAGTATGTAATATGCAGTATGCTAGTATTCCATACAGTGTATAAAGTGTCTCAATCCATAATATTACACTAGCTTACTACTCATACTATATTTGCAGTACGCATACTGTGCACAATATGTGAGTTTTCTATATGCATGGAATACTAAAATGTATGTTGTATGCAGTATGCAATGTGCAGTATGCTAGTATTCCAGTGTATTCAGTGGCTGAATCCAGAATATTGCACTAGCATACCACTCCTACTATTTTTGCAGTATGCATACTGTGCACAATATGTAAATTTTCTGTATGCATGGAATACTGCAGATGCTGTCTTGTTATCTTGTGTTCAGATGCCTGCTGTTTGGGACTCAGTTGTGTGAGACAGTTATTATATCAAATGATTTTGATGACAGACTTTGGTTCAGGCATTACAAAACTAACTTTTTTGTGCAATGAGATTGGTCCACTGGTTAGTCAGTTTATTCAGTAAATGTGTTTACGTTGTAGTTTATGTGCATGTCTACTTAACGGTTAAATGATGCACCTCATTTGAGCGCAAATGTGTTTTATGCACATTTTAAGATTTTATGCACATGTTTCCATTCAGTATTTTTGATGCAATACCCCAAAATTTGCATCAAAATACATGCATGCAAACAGTTATTGACATGTTTGAGACATTAATGAGATCTCATAAGTGATTGTTCTTTCCTACAGGTGGACACACTCTTGTGAAGCTGAAGGATGTCAGAGTCTCTAAAGCACCTTCTCGCTCCCGGCCAGATCCACCAGGTAGAGTTTTCCACAGAGTTTCTGCTCGGTCTCCACGTGCTCCTGCTTGATGTTGATGAGGAATATGCTGTGGCTCCTGGAGCTGTGCTCATTCATATCTGACACACAACAGCACAGCAGTCCGATCAGTTCATTCACAACCCTTTCACTTCTACATTTGCATTCATGCATTTGGCAGACACTTGTATCCGAAGCGACTTGCATTGCATTGCATGTGATCAGTTCATGCATTCGCTGGGATTCGAACCCGTCACCTACTGTCTGAGCTACAGCAATGCTTCTGTGCTTTTCTGTTAGTGTGGGTTAGAGATACTCACTTGTAACAGCGACGTGGCGGTTGGATTTGCCTTCATCAATAACATCCATCACTTCTTCAGGACTGGAGACAAAACGTTCAGTACAACCCTGTACAGCACACACACACACACACACTGAATGTAATGGCTGGTCTTTATCTAATAATAGCAGGTGTTCCCTGAGATCTCACTGTTCTTTCACTGTCAGGCTCTCATTAGGAAAGCAGCTGAAACAAGATGAATTTATATAATGAATCTGTTATCATTCAACAGTCAGTATTTCAACACGTCCGTTCTGAAATGATTCCTGTCATGTGTGTTAGTGCATATTACAGGCTTAGAATAACATCATATATGGTAAATGTGTCCCTGGAGCACAAAAGCAGTGTTGAGTCGCTGGGGGATATTTGTAGCAATAGCCAACAATACATTGTATGGGTCACAATTATACATTTCTCTTTTATGCCAAAAATCATTAGGATATTAAGTAAAGATCATGTTCCATGAAGATATTTTGTAAACTTCCTACCGTAAATATATCAAAAATGTTTGATTAGTAATATGCATTGCTAAGAACTTCATTTGAACAACTTTAAAGATGATTTTCTCAATATTTAGATGTTTTTGCACCCTCAGATTCCAGATTTTCAAATAGTTCATACATCAATACATACAAAATACAAAAATACATCAATGGAAATATTATTTATTCAGCTTTCAGATTATGCATAAATCTCAATTTCAAAAAATTGACCCTTATGGCTGGTTTTGTGCTCCAGGATCACATATTATCATATATCAAATCATATATGATATATAATACAATATTATGTTACTGTATTGTCACATATACGTATGTATATGATACAATACAATATATAATATAATTTGATATTATATATGATACAATATTATTTTACTAAATGATATATGATAAGATACTATACATTATATGATTTAATACATGATGATATCATATTATATATGATATGGTATATGATACTATATGTGACATGTTTTAAGATATAGGATACAATATATGATTTGATATATGATGCACTATATCATATATGGTATTATATGAAATATGATATGATGCAGTAATCCATATATGATACAATAATAAAGTATATATGATATATTATACAGTACAATATATCATACATGATAAGAAATATGATACAATGGAAAATATAATCATATATTATCATATCATCATATATCATATGAAGGGGAATAATAATATTTATCCTATATCTAATTTTTTCAGTTTAGTTTCAGTAAAGGCTCTTTTTGGACGTTTGGAGTTCTGAAAGTGACTCTGTTTTCAAAGCATCGTGAACTCATTGATTTATTTCAGGAAGGTCTGATTTCTGCTGATCTTTGTTCATGCAGCGTGATTCAGCTCACCTTCACATAGGGAACTCGGTTCTTGTCTTCATGCACGGACAGGTTTGTCTTACTCACTGAGAGAAAAAGAGAGAGAGAGAGGCGGATGAGGGTCAAAGAACAGAAGACAGAATTGGACATGCACTGCAAAACGAGAAAGAACAAAGAAAAGAGGCTTAAATGGTTTGTTCACCCCCCAGAGAGAGAGAGAGAGAGAGAGAGAGAGAGAGAGAGAGAGAGGTGGATGAGGCTGAAAGAACAAAAGACAAAAATGGACATGCACTGCAAAGAGGAAAGAGGAAAGAAAAGAGGACTTTTAATTAAAAATTTTAATTCAGTCGTTTCAAATATGTGTAACTTTATTTCTTCTGTGGAACACAAAAGATGTTCAGCATGATGATGATTCGTACTGACAGCTCAAAATGTACCATGCAAATCATAAACGTAGTCCTGCATGCTTCAGGTTCCTGCATTTCTGATGCATTTCTCTCTGTTTTTCACACAAATCTAGTGTGCGACTTCAGAAGTGTTGTATGAACTACTGTTTTGATATTTTTATAATACTTTAACATGTTTCCACCATGGAATAAAAATGGTAATTGCTACTTTTTTATCTCAATTCTGACTTTTTTTCATCAGAATGTATCTTGCAATTCTGAGAACTGCGAGAAAAAAGTCTTAAATGTTGAAATTACCTTTTTATTTTTATTGTATTTATTTTTTATTCCATGGTGGAAACAGGCTTCTGTTATTTAGTGTTTAGATACTATTATAGTTTTTATTAATAGTTTAAATTATTATATTATATTTTCAGTTTTAATTTGAATTTTATTTTAAAGTTGTAGTAATTTAGTTTTTTTAATTATTATTTTACATGTGTCTATATAGTTTTTATTTTATTTCATTTTAGTTTTATTTATTTTAGTACATCATGTTAACATAAATTAAAATGAGAAACGTTGCCTTGGAAACTAGAAAAATATTATATAAAATATATTTAGATTTTTATATAATTAATATTTTACATGTTATATTTTATTTCAGGTAACATTTATTTTATTCCAAGTGTTTTTTTTAATTTTAGTTATTTAATACATTTAAGTTTTTATCATTTATTTCATTTTATCTATTTCAAGTAATGTATTTTATGGTTTTAGTTTTAGTTGACTATAAAAATCCTGCTTCTTTCATCTTAGCATGAACTTTCTTCTAAACATTGTATTTTGTGCTTCACAGAAGAAAGAAGGTCAAGCGGGTTTGGAGCGACATGAGGGCGAGTAAATGATGACAGAATCTTCATTTTTGGCTGAATTATTCCTTTAATGCGCACACGCACATGTAATGCACGGACAGGCCTCAGAGTTTATTATGACACTTCAATGATGTAACGACCCTTCGAGACAGACTAACTAACACACACACACACACACACACACACACACACAC